CTGGAGGTTTTTTCCTGTTAAAAGGGAGTTTTTTTTCCTCTCCACTGTCGCTACAAGCATGCTTAGTGTGAAGGATTGCCTTCGAGTCAATGAGTCGATGCACTGAACTGGTTTTCCTTAGATATAAAACTTTAACTGTAACTGTAAAGCGCCTTGAGATGAAATGTGTTGTGAATTGCGCTATATAAATAAACTGAATTTAATTTTTACCATTACTCTGTGTAAATTATACAATCACCACATTTTTTCATTATTACTTCAATAATCTATTAATCCAATCAACCTCAGCTCTAATCTTCAGTGTTGACCCATGACAATATATGATAAAATACAAAAATCTGTGGGGGCATAGTCACTTTGTGAGGTAATGTATGTGATATTATTTAAAAATAAGGGCTAACAATCTGCATCCAATCAACTGAACTGTTTTGTGAAGAAAGGAATACACCCATTATCAAATCCTTATTCCTTAAACTATTAACTTTAGGTCTAGTTTCTAAGAAGTGCTAAAAATCAGGCATCTCCTTCTATCCTCATCAGAAATATGCACTTTGTTCTTTCATGTAAAATCCAACTAGAGTAAAATGAAGGCAATGATTATTGTGATGGGATACGTAGGTTCTCTACAGCTGAGATCTTCAACAGGGGGTCCGGTACTGCATGGTGGTCACGAAAGTTTCGGTTGATTAGACTTTTTTTTTTTTCATAGTCCCCTCTGAAATTTTTTCCACTAATTGAAATGTCTTTAAATCCACATTAACATGAATTCAACACACTGTAGTAAACAAATAAATGGAGGATGCCTTTCAATCATCAATGCACACATTCAGCGACACACAGGAGCTCTTTCAAGAGGGGCACCGTTTCATTCACAACACCTGTCCCATCAACCAGGAATCTGAATCAGAATTAGAAATACTTTAATAATCCCAGGGCGAAATTACTTTCGTTACATGACTCCATCTGTAATAGTGACTATAGGACCAGTTGGATATAACACTACTTCATACAATATATATATATATATATATATATATATATATATATATATATATAATTAAATAAATATAAAATTAGGGGGTCCCCTCTCCATCTCGCCATTAGTTTGGGGGTCCTTGGCCTGGAAAACATTGAAGACCCCTGCTCTACAGGATTGGGAACATGGTTTTTTAATAATAATCCACATAATGTATATAGGTATGTAGAATGTCCATATGTACATGGAGTCTTACTCACTGAACGCTCCTGTGTAGGTTGGTTGGGTGAGATCTTTTGGCACTTTCCTGTAGATATCAAATCTAGGAGAGAAAAAAAAAAAAGGAAACAGAAGAGGGAAAAGGCGAGTGAGGAAAAAAAAATAAAACTTAGCCAAAGAAAACATTGCATGCTGAGAAAATGAACACTTTCTGTACCCATGGTGGTGTTCATATTACAGAGGAGATGTGGAATGTTAGCTCTGGACCGGCGCCATCACACGTAACGGACCCAGAGCACCAGCTGAGACTCAAAAGAAAGGAAACCTTCTTCTATTCAGAGGTGGTCTTTTATTATGATCTGTGCTATAAAGAGTCCAACTTGTAAACAAGTGTTTTGTGTTCTTCATCCTTTCATAAAAATAGAAAATACAAACAGATGTTGGTTGAAATCACTTCCACCTGATCCTCTTATGAAATACTACGGCTCTAATAAAAGAAAAAAAGAAAAGCAGTAACATAACCCAGAAACTATTCCCATCCAGGAGTTCTTTCACATATCCTTTTTGGGCAGTGAAACGCTTTCAGCCCCCCCGTTCTTTCAGCCACATACTCAACCTCCCACCCTCATCCTCCTTCCTCTTTCTCCTTCCAAAACAGACACATCTGTCCATATTTCTTCCACTGTCAGCAGCCAGAAAATGATCACAACTGATGCAATGCAGGGCGGAGGAGGAAGGAGGAGAGGGAGGGCTTCCTGTCCACCCAGAACAGGACTTTTGCTTTAATTTTTGTCCTCAGTTTCTGCTTTTACTTCTTTTGCTTTGTTTTTTTTTTTCTTTCTAAGCCACAACATATGAAATCATCGATCTGACCTGCATGACAACAA